GCAGTCGGCGGGTGTATCAGAGATGGACAAGAAGCTGAGTACAGGGAACTGGTGGACTGCTTTGTGGTATGGTGTGGAAACAATCATCTCATCTTGAATGTGAAAAAAATATAGGAGATGATTGTAGATTTCAGAAGAAACAAGAACAGGTGCAACACTATTTATATCATGGGAGAATAAGTGGAGGTGGTGGAGAAGTATAAACAGTGTTCACCTGGACAACAGACTTGTCTGGAGATGCAACAGTGAAGCTGTCTACAAGAAGGGACAGAGCAAACTGTACTTCTTGAGGAAACTGAAGTCCTTCAATGTTTGCAACAAGATGCTGCATATCTTCTATAAGTCTGTTGTAGAGAGTGCTATCTCTTTTGCCATCATTACTGGGGTAGCAGCACCAGAGCAAGTGACTTAAAAAATCTCAACACTCTAATAAAGAAGGCTGGCTCAGTTCTGGGGACTCCTCTAGAACCTTTGGAGATGATTGTACAAAGAAGGATTCTTCATAAAATGAAGAACATTATAGACAACACTGAGCACTCTCTTCATCATCCATCTATCCATCCATTATCTTTTACCCACGCCTTCCTTTTTGAGTCGCGGGGGTTACTGGTGCCCATGTCCTGCCATCACTATGCGAGGGGCAGGGTACACACTGGACAGGTTGCAAGTCCATCACAAGGACACATAGAGACAAACTTGACAAACAACCATTCACACTGACTCTCACTTACACCTACGGACAATTTAGAGTTACCAATCAGCCTAAAATGCATGTTTTTGGTCTGTGGGAGGAAACCAGAGTACCTGGAGAAAACCCACACATGCACAGAGCCTCCTCTTCATCAATTAAATTAAATTAAATTAAATTCAGTTTATTTATATAGCGCCAAATCACAACAGAAGTTGTCTCAGGGCACTGTACAGAAACATTCACATACTTAGAAAAGCCAATTAGTAAAAGTTCTCTATCTAAGGAAGCCAGCAGTCTTGTTGAATCTTGACTTTGTTGCAGTGTCCCATCCTGAGCGAGCACAAAGGCAACAGTGGAAAGGAAAAAAACTCCTTTTTAAAGGAAAACTCCTCTAGCAGAACTAGGTTCAGGACAAGCGGCCATTTGCTTTGACAGGCTAAATGTCATACAACAACAGTGTCTTTAGTCAGAGGCTTCTTCAGATCCGCTGTAAGGCAGACCGCTACAAGAGATCCTTCCTGCCCACAGCCATCAGCTTCTTTAAAAACTCTTTAATTATACAAGGATTATGAGTTACAACATTTAATTTCCCTTTGGGAATAATAAAATATTTTTGAATTGAATGAGCAATGCTAGTTGCCCAACCCTGGACTCTGAAAGCTATGTTTACATAAACAATAGTAATTGTATCAATATTAACTTGTTTGGTTTATAATCTGAATGCCACAATTATTGATTTGTGGGATTTTTTTTTTTAGAATTTTTCTAGCAAAGATAAAAATAAAGAAAGATAGAAAACAAGATAATATTCAGTTCAGGTCATCAGCACACCACCTCCACTATAAATAGTGTTGGTGGCATACCTCTTTCCCACCCGAGACCTCGGATGCTGGACCAGAGTCGCCTCGAAGCTGTACGGAAGTCATTCTCCATGGCCTCTCTGAACTCCTCCCACGCCCGGGTTTTTGCCTCAGTGACCACCCAAGCCGCATGCCGCTTGGACTGCCGGTACCCATAAGCTGTTTCCGGGGTCCCACAGGCCAAAAAAACCCGATAGGACTCATTCTTCAGCCTGACAGCATCCCTCAGTGCCGGTGTCCACCACCGGGTTCAAGGGTTACTTCTGCGACAAGCACCGACAACCTTGCGGCCACAGCTCTTATAAGCTGCCTCGACAATAGAGGCGCGGAACATGGCCCACTCAGACTCAATGTCCCCCGCCTCCCCCGGAACGTGTTCGTAGCTCTCCCGGAGGTGGGAGTTAAAGCTCCATCTCACGAGAGACTCTGCCAGACGTTCCCAGCAGACCATCACAATACGTTTGGATCTGCCAGGTCTGACTGGCATCCTCCCCCACCATCGGAGCTGACTCGCCACCAGGTAGTGGTCAGTGGACAGCTCCACCCCTCTCTTCACCCAAGTGTCCAAGACATGCGGCCGCAGATCAGATGAAATGACAACAAAGTCGATCATAGAACCGCGGTCTGAGGTGTCCTGGTGCCAAGAGCACACATGGACACCCTTATGCTTGAACATATTGTTTGTTATGGACAATCCATGACGAGCACAGAAGTCCAACAACAGAACACCACTTGGGTTCAGATCAGGGGGGGCATTCCTCCCAATCACACCCCTCCAGGTCTCACTGTCATTGCCCACGTGAGCAATGAAGTCCCCCAGTAGAACAAGGGAGCCCCCAGGAGGCGCAATATCCAGTACCTCCTCTAAGGACTCCAAAATGGGTGGGTAATCTGAGCTGCTGTTTGGAGCATAAGCACAAACAACAGTCAGAACCTGTCCCCCCACACGTAGGCGGAGGGAGGCTACCCTCTCGTTCACCGGGGTGAACCCCAATGTACAGCACCAAGCTGGGGGGCAACAAGTATGCCCACTCCTGCTCTGCACCTCTTGCCAGGGGCAACTCCAGAGTGGAAGAGTGTCCAATCCCTCTCAAGGAAACTGGTTCCGGAGCCAGAGCCATGTGTTGAGGTGAGTCTGACTATTTCTAGCCGGAACCTCTCAACCTCACACACCAGCTCAGGCTCCTTCCCCACCTGAGAGGTGACATTTCACGTCCCAATAGCCAGCTTCTGTAGCCGAGGATTAGACCACCAGGTCCCATTGTCATCAATAACAAATCAATGATTACAGACCATCACGCAGACTGAATGTGTGTGTAACGATCTACGAGCTGATCTTGTTAGTTTTCATGTAGGATCATGTGGAATATTAGGGATGCAAATGATGACCAGACAAGTCAGCAAAGTTGGAACAAAAAGAAAATTATGATCTTAATCACCTTGGATAGTTGTTGAAAGGGCTGCTGAAAATAACAAGGAATGTTGAATTCACTTGGTGGGTTTTTGCCTCTAACAGATAAAAATGGAAATAGTAATATTTGGCTGCCCTCTGTACACCTAGTAGATAAATGAACAATAAATGCTGAAAACAAAATAGCTTTGATGAAACAAGTATCCATTTATTTTTAAGTACACTGAATTATTTCAGGTTAGTTGTCTGCAGTTAAAATTGAAGTGAATATAATATTTTTAAACCAATGCAAATAAAACTATATGATGAGTAACAATTACGCTTACGGAACATATTTTTGAGCTTTGTACCAATATAACATTCAATATTATCTCCCAAATCTACATATGATAACTAATTTATGCACATTCTTCTTAAGATTGGCCTTTTTTTCCCCTAAAAATGTCAAAGTTTATCCTGTAAAAAATGTTCAAATATTAAATATATTTTGACAATACATTTTTAGAGTGTATAAATAACTTTTTTTTTTTCAGAACAGTTTTTCACTTATAGCTATTATTTTCTTTGTGCAGGATAAAACAGACAAAACAAAGTTTGCTTTCCCAAATACTTTTATTTGCAGATACTTTATTTCCCAAGAGAAAGAATATGATGCCTTTACAGCACATGTAACAGAAGAGGCCCCTTTAATGAGAAAAAGACAAGCCCTATATGAGTACCTTTAAAGTTTATA